ATATTTTCATTTAATTTTAAGATATCATTTGAAAAAATTGTTGAAAATGATTTGGTATTTTGGGTTGATTTGTTAATTTATAAATGAACTTGTCAATTGTCAAAAAGCTTCAACATTCTATGCTAATGAAAATTAATTGTAGCTAATAGTTTTTTTTTTTTTTTTTTCGGCTTATCAAAAAATTCATCTTAAAAGTATGCAAAATTGGCAAAATAAAAAAACAGTATGTTATTTAATTAATAGAAATAATAATAAATAATAATAATAAGTAATAATAATAAATAATAATAATAAATAATAATAATAATAATGATAATAATAATAATAATAGTGATGATGATAATGATAATAATAATAATAGTGATGATGATAATGATAATAATGACAGTAATGAAAATAATGACAATAATGACAACAATGATAATAATAATAATACAGTTTATCAGAAATTATCAGCTATTGTGACGATTGTTATAGATATTACTAATAACAGTAATGAAAAATAAGCATTTATCATAAGTAATAAGTTTTGATCAGTATTATCACCCATCTAGAATGACTATCAGTATATTGTAAAACAGATGAAGATAATATCAGTTGATATCACCAATATTATCACTATACCCATCCCATCGCACATTAATATAATTTTAAATTTAGAATGTCAACATTCGCTTCTCGATGAAATTATCCATTTCAACTAAATCCTTTTTGCTACTGTCCTTGAAATTATTCTCTGCTTTTCGCTGAAATTTGCTCATCACAGTGCCTTTAATACGACATTCATCTATTTGAGAAAGGAATTATTCATTCCCTAATTATCGTTGAGCCAATTTATTATAGTAATCAAAAAGTGGAAAAGGCTACATTTGTTACAAAATATAAATTAAATTATTATTATACTACAAAAAAATTATTTAAAATATATTAACTCAAAAACTCAAATAAAAAATATCATTTCAGATAAAAATTACTCAATTATTTTTCATTACTTCAAAATGAAAAGTTAAACTTTCTCTATTCAAACTATCAACAGTTACTTCAAATTTAATCATTATTGTAAAGTTTAGTATATTTTCATCTTCTATTGGTGCTATAATTATTTGATTTGAAAAAAAAAAAGGAAGAGAGAAAAGTTGATTTTAAAAAATTTATAAAATGAAAATTATTTAACCATGTAGCAATATTACAAATAAATAAATCTTATTTTAATATATAAATTTAAATAAGATAATAGATGATAAATTAAAGAAGAATTCAAATGAGAGGAAATTGAAATTAGTAAATAAACCATTTTTTTTTTTGGTGGGGAGAGGGAGAGGTAAAAAATACATAAATTAAAAGAGAGTAAAATACACATTGTAAAAATATACATTATCACTTATCAATGCATAATAAATATACATTAAACATAAATGTGATAATAAAAATAAGTACAAATAAAATTTTTATTTTATATTTAAATTTGTTGTAAATTTAACATAAACTTTTGTGTACTGTAGCAATTAGCCATGTAGCAAATAGAAATTTGTGAAAAATTTAAATATTTCAAGAAAATGTTTACTGTATAATCTTCCAAATTAAAAAAAAAAAAAAAATTAACTAATTAAAACCAAAAATAATTGTTTACATTCATAATTATACAATTTTAGCAAATTTATAGATCTGTAAAATTATTTTAATTTTTTTAATAATATGAAAAAAAAAAAAAAAAATTATGCATTGAATGAAATAAAGGGGAAAGAAAGAAAGGAAAAGATGTATCATTTTTTAATGTTAAAGAAAAAATAAATGGGAAAAGATTTGTACTACTGATAATACTGATAGTAGTAGGAAAGATTAGATGAATGTTATCAGATTAATATGAGATGATAAATAAATGATAAACATTTGTGAAATGAAAGAATGATAAGAAGAGGAAATGTGATAAATGAATAAAATTTATATTGCTAACATTTCAACCAGCATTACATCTATTATTTGTTTATATTTACAACAACAATTTATCATTTGCATTTATTTACAACAAATTGTATAGTAAACAATTAATAATAATTATATAGCAATTGTAAGAAAAAACAATAATAAATCAGTTGATGGTTAGTGATAAGTCACAAATAATCAATTATTGATAAGTTATACGGTACTTTTTACTCTTTAGTGATACTTCAAATGTTTGTAATTGTATTGGAAGTGATAAATGTTATTGTTATCATTATTTCACGCTTTCGTATTTTAATAATTTTGTAGTGGGGAATAGTAATTACAGTGATATTATATTGATGTGATAAGTAAATAGTAGTGATAAGACAATGATAGCAAGGTGATTAGCAGCTAATAAAACAATAAGCATCTGATATGAATGATGGTGATTAGCAAGGTGGCTGTGATAAGAGAGAATTAAAATAAAAAGTAAAAACAAAAAAGTTAAGAAACAAATAAATGATTTTAATTTATTGATATCTCTGTTAATATTAGTTTTTTTTTTTTTTTAAGTTGAATTATTTATTTAATTCAGAAGTGATAATCAAAGATAAATTGGTTAAATGGTAAAATTAATATTTGTCATTTTACAAATGAATTCATTATATGGAATTAAATTCTAATTATTTAATTCAACAAAATTTTAGAATAGAAGTAAGCATTACTAAAAAAAAAAAAAAAAAAAAAAATTCATTTCTTAATTTTTTTTTTTCGCAATATCAAAGTTTTATTTTTTTTTATTTTTAATTCTTACATTTATCAAAATAATTAAAATGAATTACATGCTAATCGATCATACAACCCAATACAATATTCTTGCCTACCCATTTCACATTTTTCCCCGTCTATCATCCCTTCATTTCTACCCTCCCGGGGTTCATCATCATTCGTTTGCGTATGTCATTTTGCTGTTTGATGATAATGATGGGCGGCGATTTTCGAGGTGACAATTCATATTTCTACCAAGGTCTCTCTTCTTTTGCTACCACTTCTTCTATTTCCCATACATTTCCACTCCTGATTTACTCGATCTGGCTCATCTACCGGTGTCTCTACCTGCCCGACTTCTCGTTATCGTTATCGTTATTATCCTCGTCACCACTGTCATCGTTGTTGTCCTCCTTCCTCTTCCCCCTTCCTCCTCCTTCTTCTCCTCCTGTTTTCAGCTTTTCAACAATTCATATTTACATCCATAATGACAGCGGGGAAAGGCAATAAGATGTTTATCTATACCCCTCCCTTTGTCACCCCCCCCCCCTCCTCTCCCCCTCCCTTTCCATCCCTATTTCCTCTCCCTGTCATTCTTCATTCATTTTACTATCAACAAAACATTTTACAGTTGAAGAAGGTAGTTGAGAGAGAATAGGAATGGGATTAAATCCGTAACAGGTATTCATTGAAATGCTATTGTAGTACAAATATCTATCATTTTTGAATGCCTTCTCCCTCTCTCCCTCTCTCTCTCTGTCCCTCTCTCTCTTCTAAATTTCTCTCTCCTCTTCGATTCTTCCCTTCGAGCTGATTTAGCAGCTGTCTCGAAATTGAATTGGCAGAAGAAATAAATTTGCATACCAATGATGTATCAGTCCTTTGCCATCCTCTTTTTCTTCCTTTTCCATTTACATTGCAATGTTTGCCATTTGTCATACGATTTTATTGCATAAATTTAAAGTTAATTATTTATTTCAATTTTTATTTATTTATTAATATTATTATTATTTCCGTTTTAAAATTTATTTCATTTTTAATTATTTATTTTTTTTTATTTCAGTCAATAATTTCATATTAAATTTCTCTCTCTCTCTTTTTCACTTTTATTAAAAATTTAATAATGATAATAAATAGGTAAACACAAAAAACGTAAACTTAATATATTATAAATAAAAGGAAAAAAAAAAAGTTATTTTAACTGTGAACAATAAATATTAATAAAAGTAAATAAAATCAAATGGTAATAAAATTATATGAAATTAAATTGAATTATTAGAATTAACAGATGCAGCAGGTAAATGCATACTTTTATTAATTAATGCATTGATAGTATTTCCACTTTTTAATTTTATCTATCATAAAAAAAAATTATTATTAGGTTAAAATTTAATTAATTAAATCTTAAAAAGCATAAAAAATAGCCAAAAAAAAAAATATTTATTTTTCAAAATATATTTAATATTTATTATAAATGGGATATTATCTTAACACTCATTCAATTTCTTATCATTTCTTCTCCTTTTTTTTTCTCTTTTTCATATCTTTTCTTTTGTTTATTAAACAAAATTTTTGAAGTGAAAAATTTATGATTTATTACTTTTTTTTTGAATCAGAATCAGAGCAAAAAAAAATGAATGAATAATATTTGTATAAAAACAAACGAATTAATATTTGATAATACCATCTATTAGTAGGGAATAACAAAGAGTAATTAATATGATTGATGGAGAAAATAGTTGGAATTATTTGCTACCCAAAATTTGTTGTTACTATTTGATAAATGGATGTGAAAATCGTTAATAATGATATTAATTATCAGTTTGTATCATCATCTTGTATCAGTAATGCTGATGACAGATTGAAAGGGAGAGAGAGAGAGAGAGAGAAGAGAGAGAGAGAGGTACTAACTTTTGAAAATTTTAGATTTATCATTAATTTTTACTATTTAAAAAAAAAAAAAAAAAGAAAAAAACAGTAGAATGCAAAATTATGAAGAAATTTTATCCATAATATAGCAATATGTGAAATTAACAATAATTCAAATTTCATTTGCTAATATTTAGTTAAAATTTTAATTAAAGTTTTAAAATCTTTCTTCATGAAAAATCAAAATGTCTATTTTAAATGATTTATTTTCATTCTTTTAATTAAAAATAATTTCTATTTTTAATTTTTTCTATCTGTTATAGTTTTTTTCATCGTGTTTAAATGAAATTAATGCTTAATTGTTTAAATATGCTATGAATAAAAAAGTTTAAATTATTCTTTGCACTCATTTCAGATCTCACAAAACGTAACGTAAACGTATGGATGTCGTCCGTAGTCTGTTACGAGCGGTCACACCGTTACCTGACGGTGACACGGCTGATCGTATAAATTATTGCTTTTCCACCACTCTTTTAGTCATTCTATCAGCATTTATTTCTGGATGGAGGTTTAAACATTTCATTAGATAATAAATAAAATTAATAAAATTAAATTTCAAAAAAAAAATATATATATATAAAATTTATAAATAAAATTATAATTTATATGCTTAATTTTGAACGTAAATTCACGTAAATCTAATTCAGTCGTTTTCTTTTTTTAGCCTTTTTTTTCTTAATTTATTGAATAATTGATTACGAAAAAAAAAGTAAAAATTTTTTTATTTTAAATGTTTAAAATAAAAATATTTTACTGAAACAAAAAAAAAAAAAAGAAAAAAAGTGATATTATGGGAACGAATGATTAAATATATTTATGATTAAGCAAATGTTTTTGCTCTTTCTTTTTGTTTTATTTTACTTTGATTTTACTGAGAGAAAAAAAAAAACGAAAACGAAGGAAACATTTAATTTGAAATTTTATAAATTTTTAGAACTGTTAAATTGATCGATTACTATCGTTGAATTTGAATGATTATTCAAATTAGTTCAATTTTTATTTTATCATTTGTCAAAAATTAGCTTAAATCAATGCTAAATTCTTCTTTCTGTGCTTCTAATTTATCAATTTTATTACATATCAATCAATTGAGAAAAACATTTATTTTGTAAAATTTTTTAAAAAAAAATATTGAAATTCAAAAATGAATAATTGAGAATAAAAAGGAAAAAAAAAATTATTAAATTTATATTAGAATTATTGCGATAAAATTTGTTAACATTCAAAAATTTAGTAATTGAATTTTTCACAAATTTTTTTTTTTCAAGGAATTTATTTATAAAACGTATAATTTATAAATAAATTTCTTCGCCTATTTTTTCAAATTTTAAACTTTAATTTCTTAGCTTTTTCTTGCTTTTTTAAAAAATTTTAATGTGTAACTTTAATTAATTCACTATAATTTAAAGATGACAAAAATTTAATTTCGTCTTAAAATTTAAAATGAAATTAATAATTTACTACTAATGGAATTTTTTCTTTTCTTTTTTGTTGTTGTAAAATAAATTCTAATTTTCTATGCTCGAAAGAAATACTTCAAATTTGATAGTTTTTATTTTTCAGCTTATATTATCATCACTAAACATATAAATTATATTAAACTTTACTAATCTTTACTTAACTTATTTCATTTTACTTATTCTAATTTATTGCTACGAGTTAATTATTACTCTTAAATTTTTCAATAACTCATATATTCTATCTTTTTTTTTTTTACTTTTTTACCAAAATTTTTTGATAAATTTTGTGAAATTTTCAAAAAATTTTTGCATAGAAAGAATATGTCAAAAATTTAATTAATATTAGTCCTTCCATTCTATTATTATTTTTTTTTTCATTAACTAAAAAATAACTTTGTTTAAATATGAATGAAAATTTTTTATTATTCTTAAATTTTAATTTTGAGAAGTGAGTAAATATTTGAAAAAATATTATATCAACGTTTTTTTTTTTCTTTTTTGTTTTCCTTCCGCTAATATCATTGTAAACAATTTTTGAAAAGTATCAATGTAAACATAAAATTGAAAACAAAGAGTTTAAAGTATAAATATTATTTTGCAAACAGTTCATAGAATATATTTTTTACCATATTCTCTACTTGCATATAATATTTTAAAATTTTGCAAAATTAAAATTATTAAATTAATCATTACTGTTTTATTTTTACATGCAAATTTTTCCAAATTTTATGTTCATTTTTAAATTTAATTTTTTTTAAATTTTCTCATACAAAAGTATATTTACTTATACTTACTGCAAAAAAAAAAAAAAAAAAAAAAAAAAAAAAAAAAAAAAAAAACAATGTTTGCTTATATTTTTATATACGTAAATTTTTTTTTTTTTTTTTTGTTCATTTTAAAGAATTTTTTAATTTCATATTTGTTTACAGTGATAATTTATTTCAGCTTTGTTGGCTCACCAATACAATGTTGGTTTCCAGCATATTACCGAGGTAGGTATTTTATAATTTTCTAATGTCATTCAATTATTTGGGTTAATTTTCAAATTTGAATATTAAATAAATTATTGAATTTTATTTAAAGAGTTTTTTTCACTTTTTTTTTTCTTTTGTTTTATCCATTTTTTGCATTTCATTTAAGTTTCATTTATTACGTTGTAAGATAGTATTTATTATTACTGTATAAATTATTATAATTTTAGTATCTATGAAATTTAAGTATTTGAGTAAATAAAAAACTTATATATTATTACTTGTAATTACTCTTCGTAATAATACATTAAAATATTATATCAATCATTAGCAGAAAGCATCTCTGTGCATGGATATTATTAATTTATTTTAAAATTAATTATTATTAATTTCAATACTTTAATTATAAAATAATAATAATTATTATTAAAAACAGTAAATGCTAAAATTTTTTTCATCAAATTATCCATGAATAATTTTAATTAATTTCAAAATTTAATGAATATTTTTTAGGTTGGTGGATTGAGTATGCATTAGATTATTGTTTTATACAAAATACTTATTTCATACCGTTTACCGATGTTGTTCCGGATAATTACTGGGATATTGCGGAACATGTAATTCCGGTACCAAAAAATATCACTCAGCGTCAGGATCGTTTAATTGGTAAGGAATGCTTTTCCGGTTGATATATTATTATTTATTAATTTAAAATTAAAATTATAGAAATTATTAAGAGGAATATTTCAATGCATTTTATTTATTTTTGTTTGTTTAAATTATATAGAAAGAAAAGTTTATTACTCAGTAATTAATCTATAAATTTTAATTTAATTTAGCATAAAGTAATTTAATGCACACTAATTAATATATATTTTAAATTAATATATACTATGAATAATTAATAGGAAAATGATAAGAGATTGATAAATGAAAAGTAGTAATTAACAAAACAAACGATAGTTTAGGAAGAAATAATTATTTAATTGAAACAGTCAGTAGTAAGTAATAGGTAAGTAAACATAAGTTAATTTAGAAACAAAAAAAAATAATTTATAGAAAAGTATACAATTAGTCAAATATTAAATACTTTGTATGCAAAAAAACAATAATCATTTAAAAAATAAATAAATTTTTAAAGTATTATTTATTAATTTATATTGCTCTACCCTGTTATTTATTATTAATTTATGCTTAAAAGAGGAAAAAAATGAGCAGACAAATTTGAAAAATAAAATTTTGATTATTAAAACATCAAATATTATTTGTTAACTAAAAAAAAATTTCAGGTTATTATCAATGGGTACCATTTATTCTTGCTTTTCAAGCTTTTTTATTTTATTTACCGGTTGTTATGTGGCGTACAATTTACGCTACCGTAGGTAATTCTACCGTAATTATTTTTTATTTTTGAAAAAAAAAAAATTTAATTTTATGTTAATTCATTTTATTCATTTATTTTATCACATTTTGATTACTTTTACAAATAAAAATAATCATTAAATGCATTAACAAAGTAAAAGTATATGATAAATAAACAAGTTAATTTTTTTATTAAAATTTATCTTTCCATTGAAAATCAATAAATAATATTTACACAAATAATATAGCTATTTTATAAAATCAACAGAGATAAGTTAATAAGTTAAAAAATTATAAATGCAGTTAAGATGTCTTCAGCTTATTAAAAATATGCTATTAATTAATTATTATTGTTATAAAAAATAAATTATTAAAATTCCATATAATTTGATATATAAATAATGAATCTCATTTAGATTGTATTTTATCAATGAATAAATAAATTTTGTGATTTTTTTTTTTTTTAAATTTTGTAACTTTTAATTTTTTATTAACTTTTTTTTTTCGATTTTTTAATAAAATGCAGTCTATATGGGATCAATCACTAAATATATATATATATATAAAATGAATTTAAAAAAAAAAAAAAATGAAAATAAATAAATTTTTAGTTTATCGGAATTTTTATTGTTTTAAAATTTTTCAACGTTTCTTTTTTTCTTTTTCTTTTTCTTTAGCATAATAAAAATTAAAATAATAAAAATTTATATAATTTTTTATACGAATTAAATTATGGTAAAATTTTAAGTAAATGAATTTTTTTTTTTTTTTAAAAAAAAATTTGAATAGAAAAATTAAATTATAGGAATAAAAGTAGGCGTAATTTGTGATACATGTAGCATTCGATCAAATATGATCGCTAAAGATCGATTAAGAAATTTGGAAAAAGTTGCATCATTTTTGGCATATGAACGAGACATACATTCATCATTGAATGGTAAAAAGCATCATCATTTATCATCTGGTCGTTTTCTTATCAGTGCATATTTGGTTAATCTTTTATTTATTTATTTGTTTATTTACTTATTTATTTGTTTACTTATTTATTTGTTTGTTTACTTATTTATTTATTCATTTACTTATCAAAATTTATTTAATAAAATTAATTTAATGATTATAAAGTAGTGAAAAAGAAAAAAAAAAAAATAAATCATTTTTTTTTTTTTTTTTCATACTACTGTAATTGAAATTTTTCATCATTTATTATTTTGAATAATTTATATAAATAATACTGTATTGCTTTTAATTGAAATTTAAAATTTTATTACATAAATAAATTTTGATACAATTTACTATTGCCAAATTATATTGAAAATAATAATATTAAAATTTAAATTAAGGAAAAATTTGATTAAAATTGTGATATATTAAAATTTAATGTTATATATATGTGTATGAAAATTTGATGTTTTTTTTTTTTTTTTTAAATTTGAAAACTTAAAAAAGCTTAAAGATACATACATACATACACACACATACACATAGGTCATTTGCTTAGTGTTTTATAAGACGTTGACCTTTAACCTTATGAAAAATTGAATACAAAAATATTTCATTTGTTTAACAATTAGCTAATTTATAGTTGATGAAATTGCTATATGCTCTAAATGCATTGTTACAATTTTGGATAATCAAAAAGCTTTTGGGTGTTGAAAGTATCTGGTGGGGCGCTCAGGTATTCGATGATTTAATTCATGGCCTAGAATGGCCACAAACTGGTAATTTCCCGCGTGTTACATTATGTGATTTCGCGGTATGCTACTACTACTATTTTTTTTTTTTTTTTTAAAAAAAAAATTTAAATTTAAATTTCAAATATTTTTTTTTTAATTTTTTCAATAAATTTTTTTTCCAGTTTTTTTATTTTGCTTTAAAATATAATTATTAAAATTGTAGTGAAAGTGAAAAATACAAATTATAATTTTCAATTATTCTTTCTTAAATTTTAACATTTTTTTTTCTCTTTTGGCTTAATTAATTGATTAGCAAATTAATTTTAATCAAAATTTCCAACTTAGAAGTGAATTAAATGATAAACGAAATTTAAAGTTAAAATTTGAAAATTTAAAGGTACGTGTACTTGGTAATCTTCATCGACATACTGTACAGTGTGTTTTAATGATTAATATGTTTAATGAAAAGATATTTTTATTTTTATGGTTTTGGTTACTTATCATTTCTACTATAAGGTAAAGTTATTATATTATAGCAATTTTATCTTTTATCACTAATCAGATATCAGTTAATTTTATCACTTTTTTTTTAATCAATTAAGGTAATAATTATATGTAAGAGAATATTTTATCATAGAATAAACTTTTGCTATTATCATAATTAATATAATTTTTTTTTTTTTCAATAAAAAGAATAAAAAAAAATTATGTTTAAATTAAATTTTACAATAATTTTTTCAAATGAAATATATTAATTTTGAGAATAAATTATTTTTAATATATAAATTTTCATTTCAGTGTTATAAGTTTTTTAAAATGGTTATTTGCAAGTTTTATGAATGGTTCTGGTCGAGAAATGATTGGCATTTATCTTGAAAAGGTTTTATTCTTTTCTTTCTTGGACCTAAAAAAAACTTTTTTTTTTCTCAGTGAAAAAATTAAACATTTGAAAATTTAATCATAATGTATGTAACATTTGCAGTTTGTTATGTTATATTTTACATTTATTACATTTTCATTTTTGTACAAGAAATCTAAAAAGTTTTCTTTCATTTTTTTTTTTTTTCACTAATTTAGAATTTTCAATTTTTTTTTTGTTTTAAATTTAAAATATCATAGTTAAATTAAAATGTAATTTTTTTTTGTTTTAAATTTAAAATATTATAGTTAAATTAAAATGTAATTTTTTTTTGTTTTAAATTTAAAATATTATAGTTAAATTAAAATGTAATTTTTTTTTGTTTTAAATTTTTAGATTGATCCAGCAATTGCTCATACAACACGTCTTCGTGCTTTAATTGATGAATTTATTGTTGAAAAACTTCGTCCAGATGGTGTATTCCTGTTACAACTCGTAAAAGATAATTCAGGTGATATTGTCACCTGTGAATTGATCGCGACACTTTGGCGGCGTTTTCTTGCAAATCGTACAAATCCGCCACCATATACAGAACCATTATTATCTGATAAAGCAAAAATTCGCACTCATGAAAGCGGATTATAGTATCATTTGTGCATTATCAATAATTGATCTATTTTTAATGATATTGCAAATTTAAAAATACTGGCGCATATTGCATTTGCGCTTATTTTATTCTATTTTTTATTCAAATTAAAATGATACAATTAATTAATTAATTAATTTTTGATGTGTAAAATTTAGAAGAAGAAGAAGAAGAAATGCTAATTAATTTAGCATTTAGAATATTTGATTTTTCTTTATAAAAATTTAATTGAAAATGCAAATAAAGCATTAATTAATTAAAGTTATTTCAAATTCGTTTATTTAAAACAATGAATTTTAAAATTTATTTGAGCAAGATTTGAAGAAAAATTTAAGTAAAGAAATTGATAATCAAATTTGATTATAAACTTTTTAAATTCTAATTAAATTTTAATTTTTAAAAAAATTTTTTTTTAATTTTAATTAAACCTTTTTCTAAAGTGTATCTAGGAAATGGCATATGCTTTACTATTTGTTATTTGTATTGTATTATAAATTTTGCAGCAAATTTCATTTGTTTTTTTTTTTTTTTTTTTCAAATTTTATAATTTGTATTATCTCATTGATAAGTTGCATAATTGCAAATAAAAATTTATCATTTTAATCAATCGTTTATCAATTTTTATTTTTCATACAGATAACGTGTTGCTATTGAAATACACGGAAAAACAAATACTTTTCTTCTTTCTTTTTATTTTTTATTTTTTTTCAATAAAATAGAAATTTAAAAAAAAAGAAATTCCAATTTTGACTTTTTTTTATTTAAAAAAAAAAAAAGAAATTTCAATTTTGATTTTTCTTTTTTTTTATTTTATGCTACTTAAAAAAGTTTCAACAGTAAATATTATCTCAATAATATTTTATTTCTTATTCATACTTGTATAAAAATAACAATCATTATTTTATTTTCAATTTTTATTGTTCAAAAACAAAAAAAAAATAACGAATGTAAACATTAGTAGAGGGAAAAAAATAAAAAATTATTTACAAATTGATAGATAGCATTAAAAAGCTTTTAGTGAGATAAAATATTTTTCGAGATGAGTAATAATATAATGGAAAAGTGAATGTATTTTGTTTCTTTTTTTTTAAAAAAAAAGAAAAATATGATCGAATTTACTTTTATTCATTTCATTTTTTGCATTTTTAAATTCAAATATTGTTAATATTATTTATGATTTTCAGAAAAAATTATAATTTTCAGCTTTTTTTTGTTTCCTTTGACTCATAAATTTCAAAATTTTCGTTTTTTTTTTTTCTTATCCTTTTGAATTGATATATAATTTATTATTTTATAATATGAAATGTTAATTTTAAAATTTTCTTGTCAATTTTTGATTCTTCAATAACTTCTCTATTTGTTTATTTAGAGTTACTTAATTTAATATATTTTAAATATTTTAAATGTGAAATGCTAATTTCTTTCTTTTTTCATTCATTCATAAAATTTGTAATAAATAAAACGAAAATTCCTCACAAATTGCAATATTATATTATTCATTAAAAATTTTCCATTCATTTTTAAATTTAGATGATTAAATTTTTAAAATAATAATTTTGAGTTATAAAACATTTTGAAATATAATTTATCATATTTTTTAATATCAAATATCAAAACAAATTTTCCCATCCCATAATGTAAAATTACCATTAAATTTGCGCATATATTTCATGGGAAAAGTAACATTATTATTGTAAGCATCATTAAATTTTAATAAAAGTTAATTTTATTTTGAAATTAAAATTTTTTTTAGCTACTTTAACATTTATCATATCAATTATCATATTATCTCTCTCTTCTCTTTCTCTCTCTCTCTCTCTCTCTCTATTGTTCAGATTACTTTTTAATCCTTTATTAATCATATATAATTTTGCAAAAATAATTAATAAATATATCATTTTTCACTTTTTTTTTTTTTCAAACAATTCAGTGCTCTTTTATTTTTTTCTTTTTTTCTCTTTTTTTATTTATTAAATATTATCTTATTTCATTCATACAAAATTTAATTCATATATTAAATTAAAAATTGAATTAGAAAAATTTTTTATCTTTTTTAATATTTAATTGATACATTAATTTACATTTTGTAGAACTCTAAAAAAATAATAACGAATAGAATGAAAATATTAAAAATTTAAAATTTTAGTCTTATATTCTAATTAAATTATTTAATTAGTATTTAAATACTACACTCCATTATTTATTATTCGTACTGTAATTCTTTTTTTTTTAGTAGCAACAAATTCATTTAAAGTAATTTATTGTAAAGATTTTTTTTTTTTTTTTAATTAAAAAATTAGGTAGGAATTTTAATTTCAAATAATAATTACTGATTTTTTCTATTTACTTATCTATCATTTAGTCATTCTTGCACTTGTGCATGTGAGAATTTTGTGAATATAAAATAGGAATAAAAATGGAAATTAATAGGAAATGGAAAAAAATGAAAATCATAAATTTAAAAATTTAATCTCAAAACGTAAATTAATGTATTTCTATTGGGAAATTTTTTTTAAATATTTCAATCTTCATCATTATTATCATTATTCTTATCAGTATTCTTATCATATTTGAATGAAGCATGCTAGCTTAATAATTACTTAGCTATTTTTTTTTTTTCAAATGAATTTCATCAAAACGATTAATTGATTAAATGCAAAATGAATAATTATTAGAAATGGAAAATAAAAATACTTAAAATCCTTTCTATCAATAAGTTAAAATACATTGCTTTTTTTTTCGTAATTTTCAAAAATTTTAATTTGTCGAATTATAATTGATAATTTTTTTTTTTTTTTTTTTTGATGGATTATGTTAATTTTGATTAACTTTAAATTCATTATTCCAGATTATCTGATATCTATTAGTAAACTACCAGTAACTAATACTTCGCTATTTTACTATTTATATTATTATTATTTATTATTATTATTGTTATTATTATTATTATTATTATTATTATTATTATTCATTATTATAGCAATAGATAATTTTAAAATTTGGTTTAATTTATTCCATATCTCATCTAAAAATCAATTACATTTTGCCTTTTTTATTTTTTAATTTCAATTTTAAAAACTGGTTTTTATATATTAAATGAATGTTTGTTGATTTTTGATGCATTAATTTGATTTATTACAGTCACAAATTTGTCAACAGCAAACATTGGTACAAAGATAAAATTTCTTATTGTCATTTGTAATTTAAAGTTTTTAAATTGAATTTAAGTATTTTCAAATTTTTTCTTTTTGAATTTACTAAAGGAATTCCTTTAGCTCAAAGAATAATTTGAGAATTTAATAAATTTGAATTTAACATTTTTTGTTAATACTAAAATATTAGTGTAAAGAAACAGTGAAGATTTGATTTATTTATTTATTTATTTTTTTTTTTTTTTTAAAGAGATTTAATTTTTTATTAAAATTTATTTATTTATTTTTATCACTTATATTCTCATTTCATTAATCTTTAAATATTATTTAAACACAGAAATCAAAATATTTTGAAATTTTTGCAGCAAACTTTTTTGTAATTTTCTTTTTCTCTCTCTCTCTCTCTCTGTCTAAACTTTTTATTGCAAAAAGATAGAAAAAAAAAAAAAAAAACTTTCCGAAAAACTTTTTAATCGGTAGAAAATTTTGAAAAATTTCTTCAACAACTTTCATTATTACAATTAGTGGTTGTTACATTTTTTTTTTTGTAAATATTAAGATAAATCTTTGTTAGAAGAGAAGGGGAAGCCACAACTGTGACAACGAGGTGACAACAAGAAAAAGAAGTAATTAATGAGAATGTTGTTGTAATGTTTGTTTCCTTGTTTTTCTTTTTTTTTTTTTTTTAAGTATATCGTTTATTCTGGAAATTTAAATTAATAATAATATAATCTTTTTAAAACAAATTTAATTATGCAAAAATTTTTGCGACAAAGAAAACGAGAAATGATAATATTATTATCATTTTCTATTATCACTTCTGTTATCATTAAGCAGCTTATGATAATTGCAATTATAATCATAAATTATAATTGTAATCATAATTAAATTATAAGGAATAAATTTTTAATTTCAAAATATTTATTCATTTCGTAAACTAACATCCTGAAATATTTAATAAATAATTGTAAATTCATATATTATTATCCATTTCAAATTAAATAAAGTTTTTTTCTCAGTTCTTTTTTCCTTATTTTCCTTTCTTTTTATTTTCTAATTCGTCATAAAATAGTAGCGCATTTTTAAAAAAAAAATTAAATTTGTTTAATTAATATTATAATTAATTTACATATAAAGCAAATTTTTTTTTTCTATCTCATTAATTAAACGAATTTTTATTCATTCATAATACTTAATTATTTATTAAATAAAATATTCATAATACTTAATTATTTATTAAAATAAAATATTGAAAAAGGAAAAAAATCAATCGATTAAAATGTATTTCTCATATTTTGCATGCCATGCATTTTCATGTCGTGCTTTTTTGCATGCCATGCATTTTTTTTTTTTTTTTTGCAGGATGCTTTATGCTGAAAATTTTTGGTTAAGATGATTTTGCAATAATAATTTGTTGAAATTTCTTTTTTTTTTATTGTCATTGCTTCTTTTCCCTTTTCATTTTTGCTTTTCTTTATTCTTTTTTTTTTTTTTTTTTACTTATTTTTTGAAATTTAGATTTAAAATTTAAAAGTGAGAAAAAAGAGTTATTTCGATATTTGCAATTTTTTATTTACATTAAAAATTTAAAAAATGCATTGTTTATACTTTATGGAGTAGCGAATAATTTAGCTACTAATTAATTGATTTAATTTTAATCTTTTGAATATATATCTAATATTAACTCAATATATGATACTTTATTCATTTCGAAACTGTAATTTTTTTGCATATTAATTAAATGATTTAATTACAATATAGGATATTAAGTAAATGATTTCAGATATATGTTTAGTATTTATGTAAATATTATTTTACCAATTATTTTTGCTATAAATACGAGAAAAAAAAAATAATTCAAGTTTAAGTCTAAGTCTAAGTTTCATTAATATCTACATATATGGAGTAACATTTCTAACTAATGTCTATAAACTATATTTTATTGATTTATAGACAAAGATGGTAAATAATCTTGATTATTGTAACTAATCATTACTTTGATAGGTATTACTTTTGTTTATTCTATAAAATTTCAACTTGATCATTTTAATGTTTTAATTTTAATAAAAAATTTAGACATAATTTAGACTATTAAAAGAAAATCTTTTTTTTTTTTTTTGTAATATAATTAATATAAATACTTCTTTTTTTTTCTTTTATTACACTCATAATTTATTAATCAAATGAAAATTTTGATGCATTAATTCTTACAATATTTATTTTAATAATAAATGTTGGGAAAAAAAAATGAAAGGTTATCAAAAGGTCATTTATTATCATTCAAAAAAAAAAAGTAAACATTTACTCATTTTGTTAAATCCATTCAATTAATAATCATTTCTTCCATTTCAATTAATTTAATTAACAATCATTTCTTAAGAGAATAATAATAAACCTTTTGATTTCAACAAATAACATATCAGTGATAAAAGGTTATCAGTATTAATCCTCACTATCATAGATAATAGCTTCTAATAGTAGAGATAATCAAATATTATTAATAAAGGATGAAAAAACAAAATTTGTAGATGCAAAATTCAAAAATGAAAATTTTGATTTTTAATATTTGTTGCTAATTTGATGATTTTGAGTTGGTTAGAAATAAAAAAATCATTTTAGAGAGAAGGAAATCTTTTCGAAATGATAAATGAATTGAATTACATATTTTTACCATTTATTAATAATTGGAAAATTTTCAGTCAAAATTTATTTTTATTTTTTAATAAAAATTTGAAAAAAGATTCAGTTGAAACTTGTTTGTTTCTTTTTTCGTTTTTTGTTTAAGTTAAAAGAGAAAGAGGTATGGAAGAAGAAATAATTGGAAGCAAAAAAAAAAAAAAAAAAGAAATGAAAAATGTTAAAAAAACAAATAAGAAAAAGTTTTTACAAAATTTTGATTTTAAAGTAATAATTAAATCAATTATTCTTTCGTTTTACTTTAAAAAAAAAAATAACCAGTTTGTATAAAACAAAGATTTAATATTTGTTAAAAATTTAAAAAATAAGAAGCAGCTATTTATCATTTTTGTCAATATCATAATTGTTTTAGGCATGAAATTTTTTGCAAAAATTGAAATAGTTTTTTTTTTAAAAAATATGAATTTTAAAATTATTGTTAAGTCATTTTTTTTTTTTTGAATTATATGGAAATTTGTAACAATTTTACTAAAATTTGCAGCACATTTTTGTTTTTTTTTTTTCATTTATCATTATTGACAGCAATTTTATGGTATCTTATTTGAACCATTTTATCACATATTGCTCATTCATTTTTATCGTTTTTTTCATTTTATGTTAATCGTCATATGGTGGTTTGATCACTTTGATATGGCATTTAAAATAATCCATACGCAATATGCAACTACTTTTTTTCTATCAACATTACAATTTCACGCAAACAATTTGCTCTATTAGCTATGCTGCCTCACGTAACTGCGTCGTAATACGTGATTTTCTGACTTACACATATTATTCTACATATTTAAATTATTTTCAAAATTTCTTGAAATAAAATTTATTTTCCAACTTTTTACTTTAAATTCAATGTCCTTTGATCATTAAATTATTTACAAATTATTTGGAAAAAAAAAAAAAATTGACTGAAAAAATTAGAAAAATATTTTTTCTGTAATTGGCTAATTAAAAAAAAAAAAAGAAAAACAAAACCTTTTATTTTTTGACTAAGTGATTTTCATCAAATATATTCGAATAATTTCTTTGTTTTTTTTTTAAAAAAAATTATATTGAAAAAGCAAAAAATTTTTTTTCATATGTTAAGTTGCTAATTTATTAATGTTAATTAGACATATTTTTTGTTGAAATTTTACAAATTCATCATATATTTTTTTAAATATATTTTTATTTTTATATAATTTTTTTTTTTTTAAATCTGAAGTAGTATGGATGCTTTAAAATGTTGAAATTTTCATTGCAAATTCAATCACAAAATTTTTTATTCATTGTTTTTTTTTAAAGAAAAAAAAAAAAAAAAACTATCAAATTTCATTTTTTTTCCGAAAACTATTCCATTTCATAAAAAATTTCATTTTTTCTTGATGCAATGCATTATCTCTAACTGATTATTTTATCAGTATTTTCACGAGTATCAAAAGAAAAAAGAAATTACCTATAACTGAGGATAATTTAACATAGTGACATTTACCCGTAAATAGTTGATAAAGTTTAGTACTATAAAAATTTACCCCAAATTATATTTTGCACAATTATGGGCAAATCAAAAGAAAACTTTTGTTACTCAATTATTTCATCATTTAAATATCATTTCAATCATTTAAAAAAAAAAAAAAGAGAAAACTTTGTGATAAAATAATACCATTACGATTTATCGAGAACACTCTACTTCATTACCCACATTTTAATTTAAACACGGTAATTTAAATCAAATTTAAATTTTCTTCCTAACATTAATTAAATAACATTCGTTGGTCTTTTTTTTTTTTTTGTTCCTTTTATTGTTTGAATTAATTTTCCTTTTCGTTTAATTTCCAGTTGTTTCCTTTTAATTATATTTGTTTGCAATTTTATTCATTTATGTTCGATGAGGTCAAAGAACTTTTTTATGCTCACCATTTTATCTTTTTTGCTATAAAAATTTTTGTAAAAATTTGAAATGAACTTGATATTATTTTAGATCACTTAAATTTCTTCAAATATAATAATACATTTATAATTTTCCAATTTTCAAAAAAACAAAATTTGTTTTTAATTTAAAATTATAATCACAAAATGTTACACATAAGTGACATTAGCATAAAAATGCATATTATATCAAAAGAATTGAAAGAAAAAATCTAAAATAAAAAAATATGAAATAGATGTTAAAATGAAAATTATGAAATATTAATTAAAATTTAAAAAAATTAAATATTAATTTAAAATTAATATTTTTATAATTTTTCATAGATTTACTCACATTTTTTTTTTACATTTTTCCTAATTATTCTTACTTATTTATGCATAGTTGGTGTTTTTTTTTCTTAGTTATATTATATTATTATTATATTTATTATTCTTTAATACTTACTGTTTTTACCTACGAAAGTTGCAATCACGTGAAATTATACTTACGTAAATTTTGAAATTATTTCAGGATGTTATTTTTGGATGCATTCTTGAAGGGTTTGAAACCACAATTTGATGATGACTCAATCGATCGTCTTAATTACTACTATACACCTTTACTACTTGTCATTTTTGCATTAACACTTAGTGCTAAACAGTTTGTTTCATTTTTTTTTTTTTTTTTAAAATATATATTTATGATTTTATGATATATTCCATTTTTTATTTATTTTTTTAAAAATATACCTTTATGATTAAAAAAAAAAAAAAAACTTAAATTTTATAAATAATTAAAAATAATAGAAAAAGTTTAAATTAATTTAATTGACATATTTGTTAACTAATTTATCCATTATTTCATTTCTTATATATGAATGTATATATATATATTTATATATATATATATAGTTTTGTTATTTATTTACTTATTTACTTTAAAATTTTTCAATAATAAAATTTTGTACTTAAAGCTTAGATAATAAATAATCTAATGCAAAAGAAAAAAAAAAGAATTTTTTTTTTTCTTAATATAAAATTTCTTACTTTCTTTGAAAGAAAAATTTTAAAACAAACAATTTAAATTAAAAGTAATCAACAAAAGATAAATTAAAAAAAAAAAAAAGTTATAACTAATTTTATTGCTAATTTTTACTTATTGCTATAATATATTTCAATTAATTTCAGTAAAACTTTTTCTTTTCAGGTATGTTGGACAACCAATTCAGTGTTGGATTCCGGCCCAGTTTACCGGTTTTTCTTTTTCTTTTTTTCTTTTTTCATTCAACGAATTTTTTTTTTAAAAAACAATTTTTAAACAAATTAATAAAAATTAATGATAGGCTATGAAATTGATATATTCAATTTTACATCTATATTTTTTTTTTTTAAATTATCTTTTTTATTCTCTTCTTATCAGATGTAAAATGAAATGCTTATCAAAATTTCTACCTGATATTTTTCTCTTTGATATTATTTCAAAAATAATTTCAGCATTCTACCTGATAAGATAAAATATTTAATAATCATTTCATTTTTTTTTTCCCTTTCCAGGTGCATGGGAACAATACAGTGAAAATTACTGCTTTATACAAAATACTTATTTTTTACCATTGAATCATTATATTCCACGTGATTTACAGGAACGTGAAGAACGTGAAATTGGTACGTTCATTTACTTTAAATGAAGTAATTGTTTTAAATGCCTTAAACTGAAATAAATTATAAACTTTTCATTTCATCTTTTCTTGTCTTTGCTTTTTTTTTTTTTTTTTTTTTTTTTTTTTTTTGAAAAATCGTTTTTGTTAATTTAATTAGAAACAAAATTAATTTGAAAAACTTTTCTTCTCATTCTTTTTTCTCACTTTTATTGAGATAAAAGTTATATAAAACGTTTATAACGAGGAAAAATTTTTGGAATTTAAGAAATTAAATAAAATTTTATTCAATTTTTTTTTCTTTTTATTACTATTTTTTATTAAAAGATTAAAAGGTAAAGTAATTTTTTTTTTTTTTTCATTTTGATTTTTTTCTCTTTAATATAAATTTTGAAATTATTGATCAAAATTTATTCTAATAGAATTGATGAATAAAATAAATAAAGAGATGTGAATTAGACAAATATATGAGTAATGAATAATTTTAATTTGATTGCTAATATTTCTCATGTAAATTTATTATAAATTAAATTAGAAAATTTAACAGAACTTTTTTTTTCGAATTTTTTAAACAATCAATTACTATTATAAATTTGCTTTTTTAAAAATTTTTGTATCTCAAAACTAACTCCATTTCTGTATGCTTTTTTTAAAAAAAAAAAAATATCCTTACTAAAACTTGCTAATTATTTATTAAGTTAATTTATTATTGAATTGCTATTATTATTTGAATTCATAATTAAATTTTATAAACACGAAATCAATGAATTATTTGAATTCATAATTCAATTTATAAACAATTTATAATTCAATTTATAATAATGAATTATTTGAATTCATAATTCAATTTACAAACACAAAATCAATTTAATTAATTAACTATATTTGATGGATAATATTTAGATGAATTCATATATGTATAAAATTTGTGTCTCTCATAGTTATTTACTTATTTTCAATGTATTTATTCTATCAATTGTATGACAATTCAGTAAAGTGTACACATAACGAAATGCATTATTGTATGCGATAATTTCCGCCAATTCATTAAAATGAATTGGCGGAAATTATTTGTTGTTGAATGATTTTTGATAAATATTAATGTTAGCAAATGCATTTTTCATCGTTGTTTAGGACAAAAAATAAAAAAAAAAAAAATAAATAAATAAAAGCGCAAATGAAATTGTTTGGATTGTATGAATTGTCGCATAACTTTTCCTCTTCAAATATTCATTGCTCTATTTAAGGGACCAATAGGGTTTTTTTTTTTTTGAAAGTTTAAATATGTATAAATATATTTATAGATGTTAACAGATAGGACAATATGATTTGTTGAAATTTAAATGTATGTTGACAAATAAGACAGCAATATTTATTGAATTTTTACCTTAAATATAAAATTGACAGATAAGGTAGATAAGATTTATTGAAATTTAAATGTTTGTTGACAGATAAGATAATTAGATTTATTAAAAGTTTACATTAAAATGTATATATGTTGACAGATAAGACAATAAGATTTATTGAAGTCTTAATGTCGCATCCATTAAAAATTTCGCTGTTAAAAATTTTCACTGCAAATTTTGTCAAAAATTGATTACACAAATAAATTAATATTGTAACAAAAAGAAAAAAAAAATATTTTCTTTTTAAATATTGATTATTATTTGTATTGCATAATTAATAAATTAATTAATTCTTTCAGGTTACTACCAATGGGTACCATTCATATTAGGTTTACAGGGCATTTTATTTTATCTGCCATGTCTAATCTGGCGATTACTTAATTGGCAATCAGGTAAACTTTAATATTTTCCTGCGTTTTTTCTTTTCCGATTGAAAAAAAACTTGATTATAAAATGATTACTTTTAACAAACAATTTTCTAAATAACAAATTATGGTTTCTCATAAATTTTTTTTTTTTAATTATTAGAGAATTTTACAGAAAATTTAATTAACTGATTAGGAGAGCAAAGATTTACCATTTTTTCTTTTCAATTTCGCTTTTTTTTTATCGAAATGCTGAATAAATATTATTAATTCTAATTCATTTCTATACTAAATAAAAAATATTCAAGCTATACTTAATATAATTAGCTATTCCATATCTAATTAACGTACGTCTATCTATACGTATACTTGCGTGCACGTATAAACATACAGTGATAATTCAGAAATATAAGTGAATATATGCGTGAATACAAAACTTCAAAAAACAAAGTATTAAAAGTGCTTTATTTTGAATTGAAATGAATTATATATTTTGAAAATTGGTAAATTTTTTTTTTAAATTCTATAAATTTTCAACTTTTTTTTTTTTTTCAAAAATTTATTTTTCAGGAATAGCCCTAAAAGGTATTGTATTAATGTCTCAGGATGTAAGCAATATGCAATCTGATAAACGTAAAGATTCAGTGGCTATCGTAGCTACGCATATTTACGATTCATTAAAAACACAAAGGAATTTGATACGTCATAGTCCAATATCGTTACTTTTGCGTAAGGTAAAAACTTTTGAATTTATGAAAATTTTAGGGGGAAAAAAAAAACGCTAAAACTTTTATAAGATAAATTAATATTAAAATAAGAAAGTTTGTTTATTTGAATTCTAATTGAAATTTACTAATAATTTATAAACAATTTATATATGGAAGTTTAAATCAATTTTAATTTTATTCTTACTTTTCATTTAGCTTTATTGTTATGAACATAATAATAATATTCGTATGAATTAATTGATGTTAGGACAGAATATTTTCAAATCATATTTAATTTCAAATTTTATGATTTTAATTTAAATTTTAGGGATTTTATCTAACATTACTGTATATGTTGGTAAAGTTTATTTATCTTCTGCAAGCTATTACGCAGTTTGTCTTATTAAATAGCTTTCTTGGTACCGATTACACATTTTGGGGCTTCGAGATCCTTCGTGATTTAGCAAATGGCCGTGAATGGCAAGAATCAGGACATTTCCCGAGGTTCGAGATCGTTTCATACTCATTTAATTTTCATTGTGATATGTAGAATTAACATTTTCTTTGTTGTAAATTTCAAATACTACGTTATGTTTTACAAGCTAAGTGGTATTTCAAGAAATCTTTAAACATTTTAAAATTTCAAAACTTTTGAGCAAAAAAAAAAAAACGAACTTCGAGATGAAAGAAAAATTGAAGCTTTAATCATTTTGAAATTAAGCAATTTTTTTTTTCAAAAATATTTAAGAACTGTTTTTTTTTTTTAATTTTCAAACTTTTTTACTCAGAGTAACAATGTGTGATTTCGATGTTCGAGTATTGGGCAACAAGCACAGGCATACTGTTCAATGTGTCTTAATGATTAATATGTTTAATGAAAAAGTTTGTTTTTAATTTAAATATTTAAAATTTAATTAATTTAAAAACTGCATTAAAATTGCTTGAACTCATATCAGTTACAGTAATGTTTTAAAATTTTATAAATTGCTATATATAAAGTTTTCCTATATCAGTTAAACTTTTTTCGTTTAATTCATTAATAATTAGTAACATAATTTATTCCTATTCAGATGCCTGACACAATACCGTATTACTTGCTACAACCTTACACTTAAGTACTACTTAAAATTGTCCCGTGATATATTGGTACTGTATGTATTACACAGTACCGCATTATTTACCACCTGTTTCTTATCAAATTAAAATTTTTTAAAATCAAATTAAAAAATTCAAATTTACCAAATTAAAATTTCATTGCTTAAAATTGTGTTGTAATACGGTATATAAAATAGAAATTTTTCTATGGAAGTTTTTTAAAATTTTAAAGCAAAAATTAGTTGGGTAATTTGATTTTAAGTTTAATTCTTTTTCTTTTAATTTTTGATTTTAAGTTTAATTTGATATAAATAAATAAAAATTATTCATTTGCAGGTGTATTTGTTTCTGTGGTGGTGGATACTGTTAGTGATCGTAGCAACAATTGCTTCATTAATATATTGGTACTGTATGTCTTTTCTTGAAACACAACAGTACTCGTTCATTGCTCAGTACTTACGTGTTTATGGACTTTTGGACGGACAAGGTAAATAATCTATTTCATATAATCAATCCATATTTTATATTTTTTGATTTTTCAAAAGCAAGAAAATAAAAATTTTTTTTTTGTGATTAAAATCTTTTTATGATAAATTGCAGTAAAATATAAATAAAAAAAAGAAAGAAAGTAAAATTGGTAAGAAATAAGCTTAACGAATGGATCAGATTTGTTATTTGTAGAATTAATTAAAATAAGCTTAATTAGTAGATCAGATTAATTATTTCATTGTGATTTTTTTTTTTTTTTTTGTATTTTATTAATCTCATTTAATTTATTAATTTTATAGAATTTGAAGAAAAAGAAAAATTCAAATTAATTAAAATACAACGATGAATTATTTCTAATTATAGCGCATAATGTTTTGGAACATTTCATTAATCGATGCTTACGAAAAGATGGCATTTTCATCTTACGAATTATAGCTGCAAATGCAGGTGATTTAATTACAACAGATATTGTCGCAGCATTATGGAAGAATTATCTTGATGATGAAAAGAAACGTGCGGTATTGTCACCATCACCACCACCGCCACCAGCTTTAACTCATCCTATGGCATCTAAATTGGATGAGATTGATGCTGCTGATAGCTTTCATGAAGAATTTTTACACTAATCAATTAATCGATCATTCATTTAATTAGATAACTGATCAATTAACTATGTAATTAATTAATTGGTGAATAACAGAAAAGAAAAGAAATACCAAAACATTTATTAATTATTTTTATTATATGATATCAAATTATTCCAATAGGCATAGGAAGAAGATGAGAAGTATAAAAGAGAATAAATTTCGAACAAAATTAATTTTTTAAAATTTCATTGAAAATAATTAAATACAGAAATTAAATACAAAAGAAAATGGTTAATTTTAAATATCATAATTTATAAAATATAGAATTAAATTGTATATGTTATATGCTATCAAAGTTATTTAATACTGCCGTAATTTTAAAATGAATGTGACATTTTGATAACATTGTATTTTTTTTTTTTTGATCTCTTCAGTTTGCAAGAAGAGCTTTAAGTACATATTCAAAGAAAAATTCAAAAGAAAAAAAAAATACTAATTTTATAGAAATTTAAAGTAATAGAATTAAAAATGTAATTTTCAAATTTGCATTAAGGAGAAAATTTGTTATTTTTCATCAATATTTTTCGGAAAAAAGAAAATAATATTTGTATAAAGATGCTAATAAATCGGAAATCAGTAATTAATGAGGGATAATTAAAAAGGAATAATTAAATCTCTTATAAATCAGAAATTTATAAATAATAAAAAACAGTTTAAATTAATAATCGATAAGTCATGACATTAACTATAAATAGAAATAATAGTAATAATATCAAAAAAAAAAATAATAATAATAAAAAAAAGAAATGATATCTTCTTCCAAATTCCTCTTCTATTATTGAGCAGGGTATTTACGAGAACATTTGTTCTTCACTAATTTACCTCTACAAATTGTCTCTTACATTTTTCAATTATTACTTTATCTATATATATTGATAAATAAATTTTTTATCAGCAAAATGATAATGCTTTATTTGAAAATAATTAATAAACAAAGCTATGTTGTTAATTGGTTAGTTGGTTGAGAGTGAAAAAGGAATATTTGTTAAAAATTGTTAACTAATTTTAATATTTCATATATTTTGCAATTATTTCAATGAAAACTCATCCTACTATATTTCATTCATTTCTTTTTTTTCTCTCCTCTAATATGTTAAAATTTATATTTCTAATTTGATAATGAAGAAAATATCAGATTTGCCTTAATTAATGTTTATTACATTTAAGTAATCTTATGCCTTTTTATATACTTTTATTTTTTTGTTATTGTTTTGAAGAATTCTTTCTTTTCTTTTTTATTAACAATTTACATCTATCTTACATAATTTTGAATTTCAAAAATAAAAATTTCTATTCGTTACTTTACTTAGTGAATGGAAGAAATTTCTACTACTGGAATAATTTTACCATAAGAAAAAATAAAGAGAAATGAAACGACTTCGGAAATATCAAAAAAAAGTTGCACATATCTGCAAAATCACTTCTTTAGTTTAAAATAAACACAAATAAATTAATTTAATTAGCTAGTCAAAGTAAAGATAATTTCTCAGAATTCATAGTAAAATATAACACTTTAATGATTACTTAGATATCCTTCATTGATAACAACTAATCACCCAATTAGTGCTACTGATAGTATACGAAATGCTAATTGGAATGGATGAATTTTGTGCTGTTTACTTATATCAACAATAAGTTAAAATTTATAAATTTCGTTAAATGTGCCGAATTCAGTAAATTACAATTTGATACACAATAACGAGTCATCAGATTAATGAATCAGTGTACTTCGAATAAACTCAATAAATAACTTTATCAAGATGAATTAAGAATCCAGCCGTAACAATCGACTCATTGAGCGAATCTTTTAATGCCCAATGACATAGTTATAAATCACAGTGACTAAATTTCACAGACAATAAGACATAAAATATATCAGTTTCAAATAAAATTTAAATTTAAAAAAATCGTAATAAAATTTTTCCTTGTGAAATGCTTAGTCCATTCGTATTCTGATGGAAATTAGTTTCATTTATTTCTATTTTAGCCTAGTAGAATTTTCTGCTGTTTGTAATTACTAATTATTTTCTCCTCTGTGTTTCCCTTTAATCGAGAACATACTGACGAAAATTATTCAAATTTTGTGTTCTACATCATCGAATTCTTACCAATTTGTAAATTTGTGTACCAAAAATTTGTATTTAACAAGTGATTCATTGAACTGAATTAAAATGAAAAATTTTGACTTTGAATTTGCAAATTTCATGCATCAGCGTTTGTTACGAGTATTTCGCCATTTTCTGAAATTCTTCTTTGCTAATGAAGTACCACGTACATAACTCTTTTTCATTTTTAAACGTCGATAATTTTGATTTTTTTCTCTTAATTTCCTCTTTAAACATTTCTTTTCATCAACAAATGGCTGTTGCTCTTCTTCAGCACCTATGTTAATCAATTCTTGCGAATTTTGTTCCGGATTTTTCTTATTTTCATCTTCATTGATTGCTTCATATGAACTATTTAAGCTGATACTTTCCTGAAAAGAATGACAAATAAGAATCTACATTTTCTCGAATCTATAAAACCAGAATTTGCAACCATAACAATAAGTATTAAGAGTTTGTTTCAAGAAGTTATTTATTTCAAAGTTTGCTTAATGAAATAAAAATTACCTTTTCATTTTCAATATCACTTACTGAACCTAGTAAACTGCTCAAGCGACGACAAATGATTGGTTGTGATAATAGTAAAGGTTTTTGTGGCGATAGTAGGACTTCATTGTATGATGAAGGATGTTTTCGTGGAGAACGACGTAATATCTGCTCATCGTTGTGCACTATGTGTTGAAGAAACAAACATTATAAAATGATAAAATGCATTTTTTTTACAATTTCCATTAACATTCAGTGCTTTAGAAAAAGTTAGAAAAAAAAAAAAAAAAACTAAAATTTAAAGAGAAATGTGACAGATAAAATACTGTTGTAAAGAATTTACTTACATCGCTATTAACGATTTGTACTGCCAGATGTATTATAAAGATGCAAAGTTACATTTTGCATTTCAATAGAATAAAATGAATCATATTTTAGGACGCAGAAAAGCGCTTTTTGCGTTGCATTTATAATGAAAGATAAAATGTGTCGAATAAATTCCTCGTTTTTTAAAGATTAAAAAAAGTAAATCACACAAAAGCTAAGCGAACAAATAATAAGAAGTAAACTTACATTGAGCGACATGTGCAGGAGGTTCACTTTCTGGTACTACAAAATTCGGAGACAACTGAAAAAATTTTTTGCCTTTACATTTATTAATAGAAGAATTTTATTTGACAAAAATGATATCCTAATTTTATTTATAAGAAAAAAAAGTACCCTATCGATATTTTGAAAAGTTTCTGGTTCCAGTAAATTTGTTAAACTTCGACGTGCCACTGGTTTGGAAGGCGAATTAATTTTTTTAGATGCTGTTGGACGAACCAGTGATGAAGGGTGTTTCCGAGGTGACCGTCTTAATAATGCTGAATCTTCTGAAAAACAAATATATTAAGTACAAATTGCGGTCGTTGGAAATCTCATTTTATCAAATCATCAGTAATGCAACCATGATTTTCTCAAAATCAAACTGCTTATCTATTGAATTATTACATTATAGCCATATAAAGATTTCAGAATTATAACTAACTCTCAGATTATTACTTATTCTAAGCTCAAGCATCTTTCAAGAATGTATCAATTGATCATTTGGGTTTTCATTTCCAAAAATCTCAGATGTTCCAAATTAATCTATCTCATTTCGTCAAATTTAAGGTAACTTACTGGTTTGAAGTATCGTTTCGCTCCTTGAGGTAATAACCACATCAGCGCGGTGTTTCTTTAACACTGGCTGCAATCCTTCTTTAAATATGAAGAATTCAAATGTAATAAAAGACTAATAATTTAAGTTATATGATTTTCAGAAAGACAAATAACAAAAGAGTTCTTATGCGTCAACAAAAATTCTTTTATAACATCAAATTCAAAAAAAAAAATCGAATAAAATTTAGTATTTAATCAAAAGACGAACTAAGTGTCAGCAATAATTTTCATTTGTTTCAAAATAATTTCGCGATTCCATCAATCTCACTTTTCACCTCTTCCTTCCCACATAATTCCGAATTTCTTTTTCAGAAATCAGAAATACGTTCAAGTCATTCGGTAATATAATCTATTATCTGCTATTTTATTCTTTTACGTTCAATAGTCCCAATTAACATGTGACTTCAACATTTGTTATAATCTAGTAAAAAGTATCGCAAATCAAAACCAAACCTAATTTGCTTTTTGATATGGATTGGTCTTTTAGCTTGACTGTTCAAGAAAAAAAAAAAACCTCAACTATTCATATGGCAGAATATCGAAGATATCGTGATACAGCTAATAAGGCCAGTTAATTTACGTTCTAGGTAAGCGATCATATTTAATGTCGAATGTATATGACTCTAAGTGGATTTGATATTTTACAGGACAATGGGAATAATTCTGACTGTTAAGTTGATAACGAACTAGAACTAAATCATATAAATAGAAGGAAAAATTTTTGAACAAATTTAAATCAAAGATTTGAAATCTATTTGTATAAGCATGACAGTATCAAACAAATTATAATACTTCAGGAAGACAATCCCTTTCATCGAATGACCTTTTGAGTTTCACTTTTGGAGTCGGTTTCGAAACTACTTTTTTTGGCGGATGCAACTTCAAATATTCCTCTAAAAAAACCAAAACATCAAATATTTTTTAAAAAAAATGCAAATAAAAATCACTCAAAATTCTTGCTCAAATGTCCTCAGTATTTCATCCAAAATCAAAATATTAAAATCTTTTCTTCTCTCATTAACCACTGACATTTAAAACGAAACGATCAACTATTCGCAAAAATTTTAATATTACGAGTTTTTGCACTGAAATTTTAAAGTTATAAAAAAAAGAGAAAGAGTTGTATCTATGATTAACATGAAAATATCACAAAATATAGCCAATAATTTAGAAGGAAAATTTTTGAAAATAAAAAAAGGGTAAAATGATATTTTATAAGTGGAAAAATTACCTTTAATATGTGATGGTGCAATCAATTCGATATCTTCTTTGGTTGGTGAGTTTTTATTGAGTTGTTTGAAAATTTGCAACCAACGTTGATAACGCTCGCTCATTCTCGAAAAACTTTCCTTCTACAAATATTAACTAAATTTGACATTTTTTTTTTTTTTTTTTTGAAGGTACACATTATTTTATTCTACGCAAATTTTAATAAATTGCTAAAATAATACTTTCATATTTTTGATTAATAAATAAATGAGTAAACTGGAAAAATTCACAAGCCTATTTAGTCATCTGATTAATTATTTGCTTAACTAAATTAATTTACTCCTTCATTAAATAAAATTCGATATTATCCGCATATAATTACTATCTATAATTAGATTTTTAAGAGATACACTTTGGATTATATTCTCAGATTCATCATATAGCTCTAACTTATTCCTAAACATAAAATTTTCAACATAACTGCAAGTTATTAATGCTGAAAACAAAACTTTTAACACAACCCTAACTTATTCCTAAAACTAAAAGTAAGAAAAACAAAGAGTAACAAACGATACTGTTATGCCACAATATTCTCTAAAAACATTTCAAAATCTTATTGTAATTTTCATAATAGGTATAATATTAAAATTTTTTTGGAATTAAAATTAAATCAAATTTAGAAAGCTTATTCAATTTCTATTAAAACTATTTAGAATAAAATTTTAATTACTGAAATAATGAAATTCGCAATCAGTTAAAACTTTCAATAATAATAACAAACTTTAATTCATATACACTTTTATACCATTTACTTTTAATTTTTTTTTGCTATGGTTTTGTTTGTTCTATGGTCAATGAGAATTTTATAAGCCTAAAAAAATATGAATGCGTGAAAATGACTGAAAAATAATAAATAAGGCAAAATGCATTTTGAATCAATTAATCAATAAATCAGTAAATGGATCAAAAATATTCAATCATAATTTTTCCACAAATATACACCAATTTTATAACGAAACGAAAAAAAAAAACGAGAAAAAACAAAAAAAGAAGAGGAAAAATAAGAAAACAACAAAATTAATAATTTTTTAAATTTAGCGCTTAAATTTTTTTATGAAAATTTCTTTCCCGTTGTGTAAAATACTTGCAAATAATTTCATAGCATGCAAATAAAATGCAACTTCTTTCTTCTCTTTCTCTTTTTCCTTTTCTTTTTTTTTTCTTTCCTTTATAAAAGTATTTGATAAAAAAAGAAAAAAAAATAAAAATAAAAGATTTCTTTTTAAAAATTTCTTAAATTCTCAAAAATTTATATTTATGTATTAAATTTTAAATTAAAAAAGAAAAGTGATGGAAATTTGTTTGTTCTGCTTATAATTATGTATTTTGTTAATATTATATTATAAATACTGTAATAAGAAATTATTGAATGAACAAAAGATTATTATTCTATATTATTGTTTATCTTTTTTCTTATGCTAGAAATAAATGAAGTTTAGAAATTAACAGATATAGTAATTTAAAATTAGTTATACAAATTGTAAATTTTAATTACTTTTAGACAATAGATATTTTATTAATATGGATGCAAGAGAGGAATAAGGTGGTGAGATTGCTGTGATGGCATCATTTTCTGCTGATAATCGTGATATTATTTGTTATTTGGTGACAAAACATTCATGGAAAGGAAAGTTAGTTAAATGTTTATAAATTTTTCGCTTTCCGAAGAAATCATAACATTAAATTTTTATGATGTCATTTATATCATTAATCTTATGTTTCCCCGTTCTTTTTTTTTAAATACTTGTTGAAAGTTTCGGCATATATAGAAAGTATCAGATATGTGATTTAAAATATACTTAATTTTCATGCAATATTTTCATTCATATTTTTACCCATATTTTCATATTATTTACAGATACAAAAGGATATTTTCAATTGGTACTTTAGCCATTACAACTTATAATCCATCTACACTTGAAATAACAAATCAGGTTGATAATTTTCCCTCTTTTTTTTTTAATGATTCTAAACGATTTAAATTTTCGTGTATGGTGGGAGTATTAAAATTAAATAAGCTTAAATAATATACGAATATAAGCAGTAATAATTCAAATATTCTCAGTAAAGTTTTACTGTTTATGTATTAACTATTTAGTTAATAAATTTGTTTCATACGTCCATGACGTGACGTAGTTCCTTTCTAGCAGATAAATTAATATTTCTTTTTCTATTTTGATTTTCAGTGGTTATATGAGGATTTTGTAACAATTAAACCAATATCACGTCCATTGCAAGGTCAGGATGAATTTGTCATCCAGATTCGTTCCAAACGAAAAAATGACACGATGCGATTCTCATCAGAATATACACAAGAAATTTTATCAGAAGCGCTTATGCATATGCCTAAATTTTCTGATGCTGAACCTGAGACACAGGTAAAACTAACGACCATAAGCTTATGTTTTTGAATTAGTCGGATTTGATTTTGGTTTAATTTTAATCTTTTATGTTTTAATTGATTAAATGAGAAATCATTTGTGTCTATTTCCTGCTTCAGACTTATGTGAAATTCAAACGGTTATTTTGAAAATAGTTTTAGAATTTTGCCTGCTACAAACATGATTGGTCTGATCGCCGTATACCGATTCTACTTCGAACAAAAAGTTATGCATTGGAAAGGCTAAATAATAACGGTGAAGTGATTGCATCATACGCATATCAGCGCATGAAATCTATCACTATAGTGAGTAGCTGTAAGATTTCTGAAATTCAAAGTTTCATTTTTTCTTGCCGAAAAAATTCAAACAGTACGTGTAAGCTTTATTCGTATCTGTGTTTGTTTTATTCGTATGTCTGTTTGTTATCAGAAATGTTCATGACATTATAATCAGAAATTCTTCGGATATCGAGAAAATATTTGAATTCCTTTTTTAGATGCAAGGATATCAGAATGGATTTGTTGTAGAAATGGATGAACATCGTCGTCGAGTTTGTTTTTTTTTTTTTTTATTTATTCTATATAAAGTTACAGTTTTTCTTCTCATTTCAAAGTATGATTTTTCATGTTATTAATTCGAATCTGACTTGTATATCATTTCTATTTTCGTCTCCAAAATAAAAAAGAAAGAAATTGCGAATAATTTTTAAAGAGAATTGTATTATATTGTCAACATAGAAAATCACATTTCCTTGTTGCAATGAAATACTGAATTATAAGATATAAGATAGGCTTACTTATCATCTCAGATTACCAAATTTTCCTATGTATAGTCATTGCAAAGATCGCTGATGGAACAATGAAAATTCATTTGATTTTTTTTTTATCACTTTTATAGCATTTATTTGTATGCGAATTGTTAGATGATCTAATCTCTGTGATACGGCAAATGGCTGCAACCTATTTGGGAATTTCAATACCGATCGCAAAAGAGGGATTAACTTTGGAGCAGTTTATGCTAACACGTTTGGGTTTGTGTAGGTTAGTTTTATCTAGTCAGTGCAGTTTTTACTTATGATTTTTATTAATAAATGGCCTTAATTAGAACATTAATTTATTATATGATAATTTGATTTCTATTCATCTTTTTTTTTCATCTACCTATTCATCTTTGTCCTGTCTTCAAAATGCTTCTCTGTACTGCTTCACTTCTAAAAATCTTGCGGAAAACAAAAAGACAAAAAGGCAATTTATTAGATTTCATTAGAATAGTAACATTAGAGTAATGCTTAAGCAATCATTTTCCAATTTATTTTTGAGTTTTACAATTTATTTAATGATTTTAGACATTGATGGTATATAAGCCACTTACTTTTTAGTCGTGATGAACAGCTAACTTCATATGTGGAGTTCAAAGTTCAAAAGATTGCACCGCGACAATCTCCTTCAGTGAAACGATTATTATGTTTGAGTAGTACATGTATTATTGAACGGGATCCATCAACTTATGCAGCGATTTGTGCGCGGCCATTGAAAACGGTTCGTTTAGTTATCTTAAATTGAAATCACTGTTTTAATTTTTTTTTTTTAAATAATTGGTTTCATTATTCGTTTTATTCTATTATTCCTTCCGCAAGCAAGATTCATTAATTTTAAACCTCTTATGTATTCACTTTCATTAATGTTTCAGTTTATTTTATCTTGATACTTTTGTTTATACTTAATTTATGCTTTCGAAATTTTTGGATAAGTAAATATATAATAATTTGCATAAGTGAATATATAATGATTTGGACAAGTAAATATATAATGATTTGAATAAGTAAATATATAATGATTTGCTGTACCAGTGAATCGTGAAGTATGAGTTATGTAATTCTTTTTTGAGCTTCTGTGACTTTTATCATTCCATGCAATCTCTCTTCCACTGACATCTGTTCTTCTATATCAGATTTAGCCTATATAAGGAAATCTTGAAAATGGCGACGCGAATCGGAGGGTTTATCACTTCCTGTATTCCACAGTTATTCCACAACTGTGTGTTAAGTTCAGATAATTTGAATCTACTGAGCTTGCCAACTGATCAAATGCCATATCTTTAGCTTTGCGTCAATTATTTCTACATATTTCGCGTCTTTTTTTTTTTTCTAAAGATATTATTGAATAACCTTTAATAGTTTTAAATTGTTTCAAAAAGCCATCTAAATTGATGAAACGAAACCTGCCAGCTTTTTGTTGTATAATTTTCACCCTTCTATTCAAAACCGTTTTTGTTCTTGTAAAGTTGATTGTCTAGTGAAAAAAAAAAAAAATTTGTTTCAGACACAACAAATACATTGTTATGTCCTAATAATAATTGGACCATTCTTTCATCGAAGTCATTCGATAAAATGATTTTTCTACTTTTTTTTAAATCTAATTGTTAAATTAGGTGGATCGCTGGAATTTCGTATTTTAGAGATGTTAACAAGAACTTCGTAATTCCAAATTCAGCACATTTTATTAAATGACAAATAATATCGTTGATGGAATTCATCCTTAATCAAATATGTTACTTCATTAAATTATAAAATTAAATTTAAAATCTATTCATTTTTTACTTTTAGATTGTTTTTGTGATTCGTGATGAAACAGATCCGCAAAGCTTTACTATTCAATATGATGAAGGTGATATCCGGTCATATA